CCTGATTTGGTGCTCGGTGCCTTGCTGTTTGCGGTATACATTAATGCTTAATCATGAATATAGGCAGTTTTATCAATAATTTCGTGGATGATACAAAAATTAGTTGTGTGGCAGATAGCGAGGAGGAAAACTTTATACTAAGGAAGGCATATGTGGTCAAATGGGCAGAGCAGTGGAAGATGGTGTTCAATCCTGACAAGTGTGAAGGGAAGCATTTTGGGAAGGCTTACAGGCAATGGCATACATGATGAGTTGTGTGACCCTGGGTCATAGTGAGGATCAAATACATGAAGGCATCAGGACAAGAGGACATGGAGGTTAACAATGCATCTGGGATACTTACCTTTATTGGTCAATTCATTGAATACAAGAGCGGGAATGCTATGATAGAGCTGTTGCATTGCACATTGGAAACAAAGCCCCACCGTCCTCAGCGACATCATAAAAGTTAAAAATTTTGTAAAACAATGCAAAATTTCCCAGCTTACTTGTCTTTTGGACCCAGTTTGACAGAAAGCGTGGAACAGGTTTCTGTATTTGACAAGAATGACTAATTATTGAAAATAAAGACATACTAGCAATCAATAAAATATTTATGAACATCGATATATAACTCCACGAGTTAAAACTTGAACCCCCATACAAACCTCTCCTTGCACACGTAGAGACTGACACAAAAAGAAGTTGTGTGATGGGCAGAGGGAAGCACTAGGTAAGCAGTTCAGTGGTCCCTGGTTTCAGGATTCGTTATGATGGTCCTTTTGGCTTGTCAGGATGTGCTGCTCCTTGATTCGTCTTCTCCACACTTTCACGTACTTGCAGAAAGTACAGGTGGCTGGTTCAGGCTTATGAAGAGTTTAGCTTACTGAGTAAGAGCCACAGTTTAGAGCAACTGCTGAGGGAAAAAATGAACAGGCTTTCCTCAGGTTTTTACTGCAGAGGAAGGAGATAACTGCTGTACTTGGGATATACAAGGCCTTTTCCCTAATATTCACACCTGAGGCATTCAGTTACCTGGGACCCAATCACAGAGTTATTAATAAGACAAAAAGATAGAAGAGCAGAAATAGGCCTTCTCGCCCATCGAGTCTGCTCTGCCATTAAATGAGATCATGGCTGATCTGGTAATTGTCAGCTCCGTTTTTTCTGCCTTTACCCCATAACTCTTGATTCTGTAAGAAATTAAAAATCTGAGGTACTGTGCATTGTTTTGGTCCCCTTACCTTGGCAAGGACGTTATTGCCATAGAGGTTTACCAGACTTTTTCCTGGGATGGTGTGACCATCCTATGAACAGATTTTAGAGAACTGTCAATACAGTGTGGAACTGGAGGAACACAGCAGGTCAGGCAGCATCAGAGAAGCAGGAAAGTTGATATTTCGGGTTTACACCCTTCATCAGAGTCCTGCTCCACACTGTATTGACTCTGACTCCAGCATCTGAAGTTCTTGCTGTCTCTTTTTAGAGAAACTGGGCTTGTATTCTTTGGTGTTTAAAAGAATGAGTTGTGACCTCATTGAAATTTACAAACTGTTTAAATGCATAGACAATATTGATGCAGTTCAGATTGTTCCCCTGGTTGGGGCTATTATAATCATTACACCATGAGAACATAAAGCGTGGGGGCAAAGAGTAGTTCATTTGAGCCCATGCTGCCATTCAACAAGTATATAGCTGATCTAATGATCCTCAACTCCATTTTCCTGCCTTTTCTCTATAACCTTTGATTCCCTTACTGATTGAAAATCTGTTTATCTCGGCCTTAAATATACTTAATGATCTAACCTCAACAGTCCTTTGTGGTAAAGCATTCCACAGATTCACAGTCCTCTGAGAGAAGAAATTCCTCCTCATGTCTGTCCTAAATGTGTGATTCTTTATTCTAAGATTACGCTGTCTGGTCCTGGACCTGTCCACAAGGGGAAGCACCTTTTCTGAATCTGTCAAGTCCTCTAAGAATTGTCTCAAGAGGGTCATTGAGTTGAAGGGTTATGCAACATTGAAGAGGCCCTTCGACCAATCAAGTCTGCGCTTACCTATCTACAGTAATCCACTTTCCAGCACTTGGCTCATAGCCTTGAATGTTATGGAATTTCATGTTCATTTTAAAGGCTGTGAGGTTTTCTGCCTCTGTTACCCTCCTAGGCTGTGCACTCCAGATTCCCACCACCCTCTGGTTCCTCAAGTTCCCTCTAAACCTTCTGCCCTTTACTTTAAAATTATGCCCCCTCATTATTAACCTTTCAACTAAGGGGAACAGCTGACATCTGTCCATCTCTCCTTGCCCCTCATAGTCTCCTGCACCTCAATCAGGTGTCCACTCAACCTTCTCTGCGCTGAAGGAAATAACCCAAGCCTATTCAGCCGCTCTACATAGCTAACATGCTCCAAACGAGGCAATATTCTGGTGAATTTTCTCTGCAAACCCTCCAGTGCAATCACATTCTTCTTTCCTATCGTATCGTGACAGGTCATCTCTCATTCTTCTATATTCCAATGAGGACAGGTTCAATCAACTTAACCCTTCCTCATAAGAAAGTCTCTCCATATCTGGAATCTGCCAAGTGAACCTTCTCTCAACTGCTTCCAATGCCGGTGTATCTTTTCTTAGATAAGGGGCCCAAAACTGTTCACAGTATTCTAGCTGTGGTCTGATTTGTGCCTTGTAAAGTTTTAGGAAAACCTTTCTATGTTCATACTCCATTCCTTTTGAAATAAAGGCCAACATTCTACTTGCCTTCCCTGTTACCTGCTGAACTTGGATGCCTTTAGTGATTCAGGGACAACGACTCACAACTCCTCCTACTTTCTGCAGTCTTCCTCCATTTTCTTTCTGCTAAAGTCCTTAATCTTACATTTCCCTACAATATACTCCATCTGCCTGGGTTTTGATTTCTCACGTAACATGTCTGTATCCCTCTGCAGACAATTTGTGTCATCCTCACCATTTGCCCTCCTACCTATTATTGTGTCATGTGCAGTGGAAGACTGATTACAGATCTAAACCTGGCAATAGTACGTTTGTTTTCCTTATCTAAGTCATTAATATATATGTTATTATAATTGTAGCCCCAGCACTGCTCCCTCTGGCAAACCACTCGTTACAGGGTTCCATCCTGAAAATGCATCCCTTATCTCAATACTTTCTTCTATTAGTTAGCCAATCCTCTATCCATGCTAGTGTACTGTTTCTAATACCATGGGCTCTTATTTTATTAAGTACTCTAATGTGTGATATCTTGTCAATGCCTTCTGAAACTCCAAATATATTATATCCACGGATTCCTCTTTGTCTCTCCGACTTGTTACCTCCTCAAGGAATTCTAGTAAGTTTGTCAGGTATGATTTCTTCTTCATTAGTCATGCTGATTTTTCTTGATCCTATTCTGCATTTCTAAATGCTGTGCTATTACATCCTTTAGAATAGACTGTAATATTTCCCAATAACAGATGATAAGCTAACTGACCTGTAGTTACCTGTTTTTTAAGTAAGGGAGTTACACTGGCAGTTTTCCAATCCTCTGGGACTTTCCAGGATTGGAGGATTCCTGGAAGTTTATTACCAGTACATTCACTATCTCTGCAGCTACTTCCTCTAATATCGTAGAATGAATCCCATCAGGTGCATGGAACTTGTTGGTCTTTCGCTTCATTAGTTTCTCGAACATGTTTTCTCCAGTGATAGTTATTGTATTTATTTCTTCTCCTCCTTTTGCCTCATGAGTAATTAAGTAATTTGGAATGCTGTTAATATCTTCTACTGTGAAGACTGATGCAAAATAATCTATTCAACTCCTTTGCCATTTTGTGGTTACCAATTATTATTTACCCAGCCTTATTCTTTAAATCACCTATGTTCACTCCGGCTTCTCTCTTCCTTTTTATATATTTAAAGAAGCTCCTGCTTTCTGTCTTGATGTTGGATGCAGTTTTTTCCTCAAAATTTGTTGTCTCCCTCTTTATTATTTTAGGTCGTCTTTTATTGGTTTTTAAGATTTTCCCAATCCTCTGATGTCCTATTAATCTTTGTCACATTGCATGTTTCTTTCTTTCAATCTGATTCTTTCTAGAATCCTTCTTTCTCACTGGAATATGTCTTTGCAGGCAGGAGACCTCTATCATCAATAACTAGTCACTAGTCCACAGACAAACAACCACTTACTGCTGGTTGGAGCTCCATTTGGAGCTGCTTAGTTCTAGCTAGTTTGTAACCAGTCTTTCATTGCTGCTTGATCCCTCAGCTATGTATAATATTTACAGTAATTATCAGGCTGCAATCCTTAGGTTTTAAAACAGTTCTTTTCCCATTTCAGTCCATTTAAAAAAAGACTTTTATACTGTATAGAGGCATAGGCTAGACTAAAACCAGAGTACTATGTGCCTTTCTGGTCACCATGGCAAGTGAAAGATGTGTTACACTGGAGAGGATGCAGAGGAGATTCACTGGGATGTTGCCCAGGCTGGAATGTTTCCGTTATGAAGAAAGGCTACATGGGTTAGGGTTACTTTCCTTGGAGCAGAAAAGGCTTGAGGGGGGACCTCATTGAGACATATGAAGTTATCTGGGGCATAGATTGGATTGCGAGAAAGAAATTTTCCCTGTTAATTGTGAGGTCCTATCAGGGGCATAGATTTCAGGAAAGGGCAGGAGGTTTAGAGTGAATTTCAGGAGAAATATTTTGACTCAGAGGGTGGTGGGTATCTGGAAGTCACTGCATGAAAGGCTGGTAGAGGTGAGACTGTTACAATATATAAGCGGTATTAGATGAGTACTTGAAATGTCACAGCGTACCAGGATATGTGCCAAGTTCTGGGAAATAGGATTAGAGTAGATAAATGCTTGATTAAACCAACTGACATAATGGACCATCGGGCCTATTTCCATGTTGTGTAACTCTGTTACTATGATTATTATTCCATGTGGAAAATCTCTTCTGGTTTGAATTTATCTTTGCAGAGTAATTTTGCAGTAGTTGATAGAAGGTGAATTGTTTTCAGTCATGCCCAAGAGCCATGATACACTCATGGTGAGCAACATTTTATTTCTTCTATGTTGTTCAATTGGTTGACATTGAGCAAACTCTGAGCAATGTAACACCACAAAATGGTATTTACCTTCTGTCAAAATCCTAAATATTTAGATGACTTAATTGAAAATAAGTTTATTATTTTAAGATATGAATTGAGGCCTCATTGGCAAATCAACAGAGCAGAATCCCATATGGAGGTATAATGTATCCTTTCTTGCTATGAGATATTCTAAAATGCCTACTTATCATTTGTAAGAGGAATCCATCGATGCATACAATTCAGAAAAAAATATGCAATTAATTACTCATTGATTAAACATCATATAGTTTAGTACTCCTGTGCACCTTCTTATACATATGTTTGAATATGTTTACTTATGATACAATAATGTGTTTTATATGCCATTTAATCCCTTCTTTGTCTAGATTCCATCAAAGCAGCCACGTTTGGCTTTTCAATGGCAGGACAATTCCCTTCTCATGTACATGAGAGTTTCACTTCTGAACATTTTTCATGCAAACCGTTCAAACTTCAGTCCCCTGTTGCATCAATTTTCATTTCAAGGTGTCAGCTGCAGTAGCACACAGTGCCACGGACCCGTTAACTATTACCAAGGGCAAATCTGATTTGAAAAAGCTTGTTCTTTAATTTTTAATGTTTGAGTAGTATTATGACTGTCATTAGTGAAGTCTGATCTCATTTTGAAATGCTCCTATGTTCTTTTTGATGTCCTCAACAGCAGGTTAGATGCCAACAGAAGGAAATAAACAACTTAATTCAAAGGAAAATTGCTGTTGATGACAACATTGCATTAGTGCAGAAGGAAGTAACTGATTTGAAGGAAAAGCTCAAAAAGAAAAGCCAGGATTGTAAGGTATATTGACTTGTACATCAAAACCCCGTCCAATTTCAAGTTTTGGAGGTTTCATTTTAGCTCTCAGAATTAAAGTTGGATTTGTGAAATCATGTGTTCTATGTTACCTTTCTGTCTGTTTTAACATTATTGTCCAAGTAACAGTTTCAATGTTTATTTTGTTTTAATTTGTGTTCTAAAGTGTTTGTGAACCAATTTTATTATAGATTTGGCAAAATATTTGTAGTTTTTGGGCAGATGTTCACATCCTCTGTCCCAGTCCACTAAAGCTTTGTGACATTCCAAATGACATTCTTACAGGGAAAAGTGCCTTAGGCCTAGAGGCACTTTAAAGCTTTGTGGTTTTACGCTGTGAGCAAAACTCCGAGAAAGCATCTTAAAAGCTAAGAATCTTAACATTATAACTTTCTAGATAAATTGTTAATGATGGATAGGGAGCAAAGAAGTAGGAGTGTGAAGACGTGGCTTTTCCTAATTAGATTCTGATGGGACTTGCATTATTAATTGATAAGGACAGTGCCTGAAAGATAGTGTTTTTGTGGGTCTCAAGAATGGCTGGGGACAGCATCAAAGGAAGTTTGATCAATTAATGGGCTTCTGCAAATGTACTCTCATCAAAGCTGTCATTCAATATGACCGTTCTACCTGCTTGAACGGAGACCAAAAAAAGCCAACAAGTGACTTCTACATGTCAACTACCTAGGGCTGCTGTGTGTACAAAGCTAGAAAAAAATGTTTACTTGTTAATTCTCGCATTTGTTATTTGACCTGTTTGGTGCACTTGCACAGGACGCTAAGGAACGTGCACTGAAGGTCGAGGAGAAAACCAGCCTGCTTCTGAAAAATCTAGAGGAAGAAAAGCAGGGATTAAGCACACGCTGCTCTGACCTGCTAAATGACCTGGAGAAGCAAGCAGCCCAGTGGAAGGAAGAGAAATCTGACATTGACTCCAAAGTAAAGGTATGAGAAGGGACTCTTGGGTAAGATTTCACAAGATGCTTTCATCTGTATTGACTTCATGGAATTTTCTTTAATAACAAGTCACATCATCGAATGTACCCCATGGGCCTTGTGTTCATTTAAATTCATTCACTTAAAACCCATAGCTTTTAAAAAATTAATACTGCAAAGTGGAAAATCAACTGAAAATATTATATTAGAAATCACATATGCCTCATTGTTAATATAACATGATCCCATTATCATTTCATCTTTGCACAATATTATTACTTTCAAAGCAACAGAGACTTTCTGAACTACTGAAATGTGTATCACAGTAACTTTTCCTCTTGACTTATCATATAATTGAACTCCACATTCACATGCACAAAACTTCGTCTTAAAGAAGTACTAGAGCTAATATTTAAAAGATAGAACCCTTTGTGGTTTACTCAGACCTGATCATTTGTAAAGCACAATGAATAGTATCTATACTGCAGACTGGAAAAGGACAGATTTTGGGGGCCTAAAAGTTGAACTGGAGCACATTGATTGAAAATGTATTTTGGTGGATAAAATGATGGATGAAAAATAGGAGAATTTCAAAAGAATGATATATAAGGTGCAAGCTAGGTTCATTCCCATGAGAAATAAATGCAGGGTATCCAAAGCTAGAGAACCCTGGATGACTAAGGGTATTGATGAGAAAATAAGGAAGAAAAAGAAGGCATTTGATGCACATTGGAATAATAATAGCAATAGAAGTCAGGAAGAGTATCTCAAATGCAGGAGAGAAGGTAAGGTTGGAATAAGGAAGGCTAAGAGGAAGCATGAGGAAAAGCTGTGCTAAAACAGATAGTAAAATGTTCTTCAAACATATTAATTGTCAAAGATTAGTGAAGAATGAAGTGGTGTCCATGTGGAACAAGCAGAATTAACTGCCCACTAAAGCAAAGGATATGGCAGAGATACTAAATTAATATTTTGCTTCTGTCTTTACCAAATTAGAAAATGATGACAATGGCCTAATTGAAAACATGGCTGTTGAACAACTGAATAATATAGTGATAGATAAAGAAAATATGTGAAAAAGGCTGGCAGCACTCCAGGTAGAGAAGTTGCCAGGCCTGGATGGAATGCATCTTAGATTGCTGAGAGAGTTAAGGGAGCAAATAGTAGGGCCTTTGACAGAAAATTTTCAGGCCTTTCTGAAGGCAAGATTAATCCCAGGTAACAGGAGGATTGCAGATGTGACACCATTGTTTAAGAAAAGGACAAAGGATAACCCAGGAAACTATAGACCTGTCAACTTGACATTAATTGTGAGAAAACTGATGGAGGCCATAATATGGGATAAGGTAAATATACACTTAGAAAAAAAATAAGTAAGTACTAGACAGCGAACATGTCTTTGTCAAGAGTAGGCCATGTCTGACAAATTTAATTTGAGTTCTTTGATGAAGTGACACAGACACCGGAAGAGGGTAGTGCTGTGGATGTTGTATATTTGGATTTTCAGAAAACATTTAAAATGGTGCCTCATGGCAGGTTGGTTATCAAATTAGAAATGTATGGGATTGATGTGTTCTTGGCAGCATGTTCTTGGCTAAAAGTTAGGAAGCAGAAAGTAGGTATAGAAGGGCATTTTACAGATTGGAAACAAGTTGAAAGTGGTATTCTTCATGGATCGGTGTTGGCAGCAGTGATTTTTCTGATTTATACAATTGATTTGGAGATGGGTGTTGAGGGCAAAATCTCTAACTTTGTACATGATTCTAAACTAGGGAGAATAGTGGATTGTGAGGAGGATGTTGAGTGACTTCAGAGGGACATTGACAAGTTGCCCAAATGGGCAAACACCTGGCAGATAAATTTCAGTGCAGAGAAACGTGAGGTTACGCATTTTGGCAGAAGAAACACAGAGAGACAATACAGGTTTAATGGTACAAATCTGAGGTGAGTACAGGAGCAGAGGAACCTTGACATTCATGTGCATGTTTCTCTGAAGGAGGCCAGGCAAGTTGGAACAGTTGTTAAGAAGGCTTATGGGATCCTTGTGTTTACAAATAGAGGTATAGAGTATAAATGCAAGGAAGTAATGCTAGACCTGTACAAATTGCAGGTCAGACCACATTTGGGGTATTGTGTTCAGTTCTAGGCACCTTATCTAAAGAAGGATTTTAAAGCCTTGGAAGCCATTCAAAAAAAATTTACTAGAATGATACCGGGGATGAAGGATGTTAGATATAAGGAAAGATTATAGAGTTTGGGCATATTCTCCTTGGAACAGAGAAGATTAAGAGCTGACTTATGAACAATTTTGACAGGGTAGAGAAGAATATTCTGTTTCCACTAGTCGGTACATCAGTAACTAGAGGTCACATTTTCAAGATTGTCAGGAAGAGAACTAGGAATGAGATGAGGAGAAACGTCTTTATTCAGAGAATTGTTAGGATTTGGAATGCGCTGCTTGGGAGAGTGATGGAGGCAGATTCCATAGGAACTTTCGAAAGAGAATTGGACATGTATTTGAAAGTGATAATGTTTGAGTGCTATAAGGATAGGATTGGAGAATGGGACTGGCTGGGGAGCTCATTTGGGAGTCAGTACAGACATAATGGATTGAATTACCTCCTTCTGTACAGCAAAATTCTACAATTCTATGTTGTGTGGTGCGACCACCATCGTAAATGATTTTGAACAGATCTAGTAACACAGAACGAGGCATCCTGAGCCATCTGTTACATTATGGTTTGACATGTCCTCCATTCTGCTATTACATTCGAACTAGGGGATCATTTCTGGTTCAATGAAGAATGCAGGAGAGCATGCCTGGAGCAGTGCCAGGCATATCTAAAAACAAGATATTAATCAGATTGTAAAAGAAATTGTATTTATATGTTTTCATGTGGATGGAAATAAACACGAGTTTCAGGGTTCTGTTCAATCTAGAAGTTGGCTTTGAGCTAGCTGGGTCAGTGTCTTGTACTACGCACATGTAAATAAATGGTGACTTGGTGATGGGATATTGACCTTCATGGAGTTATTTCAAATTAACACTTTGATACTTATACTTTGTATACTTTGGGGAGCAAATATTGTTCCTGTTAGAACTAATGCAGACTTTAGTCTTTGCTTCTCACATATCTTGTTCTAGTTGGTGTTTATATTTTCCTTATGTTACCTTGCCGTTATTATTTCCCTGAATTTATTACTTTCCTTTTCCTGTTGGGATAACAAGAGAGTTGTTGTTAAAACTTAATCGTTGGAAAGTATCAAAAATTTTATAATAATTATGCTTTTATCTGATTGCTGTCAGACAAATAGAAATAGAAGGAGAATTGGACCATTCAGCACATTGAGTCTGCTCTGCCATTCAATCATATCTGATATATTTCTTAACCCAATCTCCTGCCTAATCCCCGTAATGCTTGATCCCCTTACTAATCGAGAACCTATCTACCTCTGTCTTAAATACATTGTGACTTAGCATCCACAGCCCTTGCAGCAATCAATTCACCCTCTGGCTGAAGAAATTCCTCCTCATCTCAATTCTAAAGTGTCGTCCCTTCACTCTGAGGCTGTGCCCCGGGTGTTAGTTTTTCCTACAAGTGGAAATGTCTTATCCATGTCCACTCTATCCAGGCCTCTTAGTATCCTGTAAGTTTCAATGAGATCTCCCTCAACCTTCTCAAGTCTGTCGAGCACAGACCCAAAGTCCTCAACCACTCCTCGAATAACAAACTCTTAATCCGCAGCTTTTCACCTCCAGGATCATTCTTGTAAGTCTTCTCTGAACCCCCTCCAATGCCAGTGTATCTTTCCTTAGATATGGGGCCCAAAACTGTTCACAATATTCCAAATGTGTCTGACCAGAGCCTTATACAGCCTAAGCAGTACATGTCTGCCCTTGTTTTCTAGCCCTTTTGAAACAATTGCCAACATTGTATTTGCCTTCCTAATTGCCAATTGAACCTTTGAGTTACCTTAAGAGAATCCTGAACTAGGGCATTCAAGTCTCTTTGCATGTCAGGTTTCCTAAGCCTTTCTCTGTTTAGAAAATACTCCACACCTTTATTCTTCTACCAAAATACATAACCTTACACTGTGCCACATTGTATTCCACCTGCCACTTCTTCGCCCACTCACCTAACATGTCCAAGTCCTCAGCACTACCTGTCCCTCCATCTGTCTTTGTGCCATCTTTAAACGCGGCAAGAATACCCTCAATTCCTTTGTCCAGATCGTCAATATATAATGTGAATAGTTTTGGTCCCACTGACCTCTGAGGAACTCCACTAGTTACTGGCTGCTATCCTAAAAAAGACCCCTTTATTCCTTCTCTCTGTCTTTTGTCAGTCAGCCAAATCCTCTGCCTAGGCCATCGCCTTGCCCCTAACACTGTGGGGTCTTATTTAGCAGCGTCCTGTGCATCACCTTGTCAAAGACCTTCTGGAAATCCAAATAGATCACGTCCACTGGCTGTCCCTTGTCTAACCTGCTTGTTGCATCTTCAAAGAATTCTAACAGATTTTTCAGGCATGGTCTCCCCTTGATGAAGCCATGCTGACTCGCCGTATTTTATCATGTACTACCAAGTACTCTGCAATCTCATCCTTCACAGTAGTCTCTAAAATCTTACCAATGAGTGAAATCAGGTTATCTGGCCTAGAGTTTCTTGTTTTCTGTCCCCTTCCCTTCTTAAACAGTTAAAGAGCCTCAATTAAAGCAGATTGAACTAAAAAGTTACAAATCAAATTATGTGTTTTTTTCAACTCACCACATTTTCACTTGTGTGTATTTATATGGACTTCTGGCAGTGTATCCTACGGTGTGTGTTACAGTTAACATTGGAAAAGTAAACTATGAAATTTATATGCCGTTACTCATGGATTTTTTGAACACCAGTTTCAATGTTGAAGCAGAAGAATTTCCTTATGAGTAAGAGCTTTGAGGACCATCTTCAATATAACGTGTTGTATAGAATATAGCATTACACATTACAGAAGAGGCCCATCAAA